CGCTACTTTATAATGAGTGGAGACACCTACTGTTGTAAATTATAAATAAATTGTTACAAAAAAATTTATCTAATAGGTATATAACAGCTCGCGCTATAAAGTATAATTTCAAATATTATTTAAACATCAGAATATTTAGAAAATTATCATTTTTACTCTCGATACTTAAAAAAAAATATGTGATTTAAAAAATGGAAAAATAAAGTTTCTTCCAAATAACTAATTTTTGCATGAGAGATATAAATAAGAGAAGTAAAAAAAAAAAAAAAAAAAAAAAAAAAAATTATAATACACAAATGCTGGTACATGAGAGAGAAAACTTTCAGCAACAGTAGTCACTCTTTTCACGTGCATGTCAAAGTTTTAAACTCTTGACAGTAAAACTGTTCCTCTGAGAATTTTGTTGAATAGAAAACACACACACACATACAAATATATATATATATATATATATAAAATGCAAAAACATTTCTCTCTTGCACTAAACTCGAGAAAATTTTCAAAAAGAAAATTAAACTAACAAGAAGTGTAGACGTCTTTATTTCGTCATATCAATTTTTTTTTTTTTTTTTTTGTTTGGTTAATTTGACTATTTATTTGATTAGCAAAGGAAATTGTGTAGTAATAACAAAATAAACTTTCTAAATAAATGACTGAAAATTATATATATATTTAATTATTACTTTAGCTAAGCGGATAAGGTACACGACTTTTAATCCATTGACGCGAGTTCGATTCTCGCTCTGGAAATGTTTTTTTAAAAATTTATTTAAATTAAATTCCATAATTTATTATAAATATGGGACATAGTAGCGAAATAATTAGATAATAAATTATCATGATAACAATAATAAATAATAAATAATAAAGAATAAATAATAAATAATAAATAATAAATAATAAATAATGAATAATATAATAATAAGAAAATGAATTAGTTTTAAAAAAAGTTCATTTAATTCACCAAATAGAATTTAATTAATAAAATTATTATTTAAATAGATAATGAAAGTAAAAATTCATTATTATTTATTTAATCAAGTTTAAAACGATTGCTTAATTTAAATAATTGCATTAAATTTAATATATAGAAATAATTTTTTGCAATTGATCTATAGTGAAATATAAATTTTTCTTTAATAATAATAAATACACGTTGTTTAATAGGGAAATAGAATGAAATAATTAAGTATAAATAAATTACAAAATTCATTTGATGTTAATTAAAATTACTATATATATATCATTTAAATATTCAAATAGATAACTAGAATTTAATTAATTTGCAGTAATAACGTTTAAGAGCATTTGAACCTTCGTGACGTCACAAATCATGGCGCATGACACGCAAACTTCTCAGGTATGTGAAAAGCACAATTTTGAATATTTTTTAAAAAAACCTTTTGGAAAATGTTCAGAATAACATAGACTCTGTCTGTTATGTGCGGAAAATTCAAAATTTTGCGTTTAAGACGTTTTTTGAACAATGTTTAAGTCACAAATCATGGCGCATGACACGCAAACTTCTCAGGTATGTGAAAAACACAATTTTGAATATTTTTTAAAAAAACCTTTTGGAAAATGTTCAGAGAAACATTGACTATGTCTGTTATGTGCGAAAAATTCAAAATTTTGCGTATAAAACGTTTTTTAAACAATGTTTAAGTTGGTTGTCACAAGTAAGGGAAAATACACGAATTGCTTATATGTAGGCATTGTTTAAAAAACGTCTTAAACGCAAAATTTTGAATTTTCCGCACATAACAGACAGAGTCTATGTTATTCTGAACATTTTCCAAAAGGTTTTTTTAAAAAATATTCAAAATTGTGCTTTTCACATACCTGAGAAGTTTGCGTGTCATGCGCCATGATTTGTGACGTCATGAAGGTTCAAATGCTCTTAATGACTGTCAAAAATTCAAAGTTCCATGCGCTTGATTTTCATTTTAGAATTTAATATGCATTTATGGTAATAATTTAACCACAAATATAATATAATAATTGTTACAATAATTATTTATATAAATAACAGTAACAAATATTATTAAACACCGAAATTCTAATTTAAGAATATATTCTTCGCTCTCTACATTGAAAAAAAAATTTATTTGATTCAAATACCGCGGTGTATTTGGTTATTATATCAAATAAATATTTACTTGAATCAAATATTTCTTATTTGGATCAAATAAATGGTATTTGCTTTAAATACTGAAATATTTGATTCAAATATTATATATTTGATCCAAGTATAAATATTTATTTCATAATAACCAAATACACCGATATTTGAATCAAATAAATTTTTTTTTCAGTGTAATATTCTGAATTAGTAAAAAATAATTACTAATTTGAATTAGTGACTCACTTTTTGCTTATTTGAATTAGTAAAATTTTACTAATTATTAATAACTCTACTCTCTAAATCTGAATTAGTAAAAATGTTTACTAATTTGAATTAGTGACTCACTTTTTGCTTCTAAATTAGTAAAATTTTACTAATTGTTAGTAAAAGTTACTAATAATTAGTAAAATTTTACTAATTCAGAAGCAAAAAGTGAGTCACTAATTCAAAATTAGTAAACATTTTTACTAATTCAGATTTAGAGAGTAACTAAAAATTAGTAAAATTTAATTCTAATGCAAAAAGTGTGTCACTAATTCAAAATTAGTGAACATTTTTACTAATTCAAAATATTAGAGAGCGTGTTTCATTTTTTCGGTGTATATAAAATTTAATACACAATATTCAATTGAATTTCTATTTCACTTATATATATATATATATTTTTTTTTTTTTCATGTCACTAACTTTCTCTAATTCAGAGAAGTGTAAACAATAACCGGGAAATGTGTTTTTTTTTTTTTTTTTGTGCCATTTTTCATATATAATCAATTTGAGATTATTGATGAAGAAACAAAGACAGCAGTTTGCGGCATGTAAAGACCCTTTAATCATCCGTAAATGTAGTGTAATTACAGTGAATCGCAAATCAGTTGCCGCTGCATCTCTCTAGAATGTCATTTATGGATGTGTGGTATGGGGTCGGTGAGAGAAGTTCCTAGTGTATATGCCTTCTTCCTCCGCCAATGATGACGTAAGCCAATAAGACCGCGTCACGTTTGCCGGCAGTTCTCCAGCTGCTTTGGTCAATGCACGATCATGTTATGCGCTTTATCGAATCTCTTTTCTCTCGACACGATATATTATAAATAATATTTAAATCTGACAATACTCATAAATATTCATCAAAAAAAAAAAAAAAAAAAAAACAATAAATAAATAAATCTTAAATTCTTTACCGAAATAATTCATAATTTAAAAAAAAATGATTAAATTATAATTTTTTATTTGCAAAAATTTAAAGTCAGCATATTTTCTCACATATATAAACTAAAATTTAATCGTAAGTACTTAATGGTCTTTTTGTATTTGGTCCTTACACTCAGAGAAATGGTATATTTGCGTCTCCGAGCCTACTAACTCATTTATTTGTTGCAAATATATTTTATTTCATTAAAATAAAAAATTTATTTGAGCCAAAGAAAAATTTATTTCTGACAAATAAAATTTTTATTTACGTCAAATAAATAAATTAGTAGACTCTAAGACAAATATACATTTATTTAACTCAAATATATTTTATTTGATACAAATAAATCATTTTTCTGGGTGAAAATGAAATGAAAAAAATATTATTTTTTAACTTTATATGCAAATTATTATTCTTCTCTATTTACATTCGTGATATAATCAAGGTCACGTGACATAGTAATGTACACTTCCAAATGGCAAACTAAAAAAAATTATTGCAAAATCAAGAATCGCATCTATAAATGCCAACAAGGGAATTGACTCGACATTAGAAAATTGTTTTCACATTTCAATATAATAGAAATGTAGGTTGTATATATTCACATTAGATTTGTTAATTTAATGCAAAAATATATAAAATTGATTAATTATATATAAATTTTTGTATTGTATAATTTTTCATTAATTTAACACAAAAGTATCTTCAATTTATCGCTTTTTTAACCAATTTTTATCAAAATTAGCATAAAATCTAAAAATACTAATTTGAAAATACCTATATATATATATATATATCATTAAGATATGGAAAATTAATGTAATATTTAATATTAAATAAAAATAATATTCTTTTTCTATATATACGACTATTAATTCAATTTTCAATAATTTTGGCGACTGAAATATAACAATACATTAACTGTCATACTCTGATATGTATATTACCAATTCTATTCACGTTCTGCCGAAAATTACATACATCAGAGAATGTACGATTGAAAATTATTCAAATAATAAATGCAATTAAAATTTAAAAAAAAAATTATGCCCTGAAATATTGTCGCGATATTAAATTATATATGAATAATTTCATTAAGTATAAACGAGACAAATGTCCTTCAATTTAAAAAAAAAAATTAATCTCGTCATTGCAGTACTTTATTGGATTTTCTTATCATCAGCTTTTATGTTTCAAACAACCATTCATATCGTCTCTGTCCATTCAATTCTTTACGATCCATAATTTATTTCTGATTTCGTTTTTACTTTATTTTTTTTTTTTTTTGATGACCTTCGTGAAGGGCAGAGATTTTTTCAAAATTCTATTTTTTATTGTAAAGAAAAAAAAATTTATTTGATTCAAATAATCGATTACTTGGTTATTATTAAATAAATATGAATCAAATATTTTTTTATTTAAAATATTTGTTTTAAATACAGAAATTATATTGTTTTAAATAAAATTTATGATGCAAATAAAAATTATTTGGTTCAAGTATAAATATTTGCAAGTATTAAAAATTATTAAAGATTATAGTTTCTGAAAAAATTTAAACTTCGCATATACCAAAATGGAAAACTTTCAACAAAAAAAAAAAAATTAAGATTTCAGTTCAAAAGAAGAGAGAGAAGGTTTAAATTTAAAAACGCGAGAAAAAAATCATCAGAACAAGAATAAACTTACCCGAAAAAGGAATGAAGAAAAAAAAAAAGTCTTCTGATCCCCTGGCGAGAGATGAGTGGTACAGCTGATACCAACGCACACACGATCACAAGTTTTAAAAAAAAAAATTTTTATATTCCGTTTAAAAGAAAAAATTTTTTTTTTTTCAAAATAGAAACATTTATTTATAAGTTGACGAACTAGTTTTCTTGTTTTTCTAAAGTAGGTCGATTTAATTCGCGTGAATCCGCGTGCTTATTAAGGGAACACAGCACACACACCACGCGGTTACCGGCTTTTATAAACTTGATGTTGTTTTGAGAGAGAGTGAGAGAGAGAGAGAGAGTAAGATAGTGAATTGAGGTGTAATGTGTCTGAGAGAGAAACGTTCGAACACAACGAGCGGTCGCACGAGACTACAAGTTTTGGAGTTTGTGAACAGTGGGTGCTCTCTGACTACATGCACATACCACGCTGATGCGCGATAAACGTATTTCTTTACCATCGCGCATCTTCCTTCGTCGCATGTGTCAGATCTGGATGTTTATTTTCTTTCCATGGCATTTCCCGCGGTGGCACACTCGACGCGTGTGCAGCGATTCAAATCTTTGCGCGATATTTCACATTATATAATTTAATCATCTTCAAACACCGACGCGTTAATTATTCCCAACTGGGAGGTAATTTTTGTAATTTTTTGTTGTTGTTGTTAAGAAAGATTCAATCCAAATTCTGATGATTCGGAAATTGAAAACCTTTTTGAAGTGAATATCATCAGTTATTGTTTTTAGAGAAAATGCTATGATCTGTTGTGCTTTTTTAAACCCAACAGATCATCGCAACTGATGGTTTTTTTTTTTTGAAGTGCACAATGTCTGCCACTGCAAAAAGAAGTATCTTATTTTAAGATGTTTTGGTAGCATTTAGATGTTTAAAATGTCTTAAAAATGCTACCAAAACATCTTAAAATAAGATACTTCTTTTTGCAGTGTGGTGTATCAAAAATAGGAATGCACTTTAGGGATACCAATACGAACTCGGAGGCAGAAGCGAAACTGTATTAATAGTAATGGATGATGATCAGTCAAGGCAAGATGTACGTCAAAGAATTTGGAAAACACCGAAAGAAGGTCAACGCAGAGGTAAGTTAAACCAAAATGGTTGGGATAAGATTCACCAGAAGAGAGAACTTATAAGAATAGAAATTTAAGGAGACTAATAAGAACTAGAAGACGTTCACCAAAAAGAGGTTCCAAGAATTATCGGAGATGGTGAAACAAAAGGGTTACACTGGAGATTCGCGACCTGGATTGTTCCCAAGAAAACGCTTCTCATAAGAATTGGAGACTAATACTAATGAGACGATCACAAGAATTATTGGATTGAACGAGATACAGACGGTGGACCGAAAGGGTTACGATTCGCGACCCGGATTACCTTACCAAAGGTGCTATCAGTAATTCTAAAAGCATCTGAAAACAGCAGAAAGGTGACGGTGAACCCAACAAGAGATAAAACTCGCTGTTGTTGCCGCTAACTAGAATGAGGCTAACATACTGCAGCAACAGGGTACAGCTACTAAACGGAGAAAAAAGAATTGTTATGGTTACTAAAAATTAAGTCCACACAATAATTTCGTATAGAACCAGCAGTTCTATTTGTTTTTGGGACAAAAAAAAAATTATTAAAAATGGATTGTTATTAAAACTATTTGGATTGTTCGCCGCGAACAAACAGAATTGTATGAAGAACAAAGAAAATTGTTATGAAACAGTTGAAATAACAAAACTAAATTGTTAAATCTGCAATACAATTTGTTGTATTAAAAGCTTTGATCCGTCTAATACAATTTGTTTAGTTTCTTCGCCTTCTAAAATAATCGATAACAGATTTCCATAGGTCATATCAACAGTTTCATTTGCATTAAAATCTGTGGAACATTCAGCTTCTGAATCAAATTCTTTGACCTGAATCCAACAAATTATTTTGCGTTGAAATTTGTTGTTAAATAATATTTAATATACATTTTGGGTCAGTCCACTGACTTTCGTCTAATAGTGGTTGCGACCAAATTTTAAAAAACAGTGATATATTTTTAAATTTTATGTTTTCAAATTTTCGAATATGTATATCACATTTCCGCACATCGTAGGATTATGTATAAACATATTCTTAATCGAGAAAAACGTGTGATAAAAGCAAAAACTTTAATTGATAATTATCAGTTAATGTTTTTTGCTTTTATCACACGTTGACAGATATCACACACGCTTTTTATTACAAAAACGTGTGTGATACGTGATTATTATCATAATAATATACACTACCGTCGGAAATTGTCGGTACGATTGACGTGCGCAGGATGAAATGTTGATGTCGCACCTAAATTAAGATATTTTAAGTTTGAGAAAAGCTAGAGACTTGAAACTTAGATCACCTGAAAGCTGATAAAATTCTGCTTCTGAATATATACCTAGAATTTTTTTTTCGACTTTCTGGAGCGATTATAACACTGGAAAGATTTCGAAAAAAAAACGTCTAATTTTCCCAATTTCGTACCCAGTTTTTGATTCCCTGCATAATCTAGGAAAATGCAAGGAAAAATTTGTAACTCCTACAACATAATCTTTAAGATCTTAGCTTTAAAAGTAATTTTTAAGACTTAAAAAATATTGTTTCGTTTTTGAGATAAGTTGAAAAATGTCAGAGCATGTTTTTTACACAACTCAGCGTCAAAGATTAGTTCTTGCATCCCCGCTGCTTCGCCCGTTCCTTGCGCCAGGGCCGAATATGCGTGCGGGCCCCTGCTTGAAACCCGTCTTGTATTTTCTTACATTTACAGTTATTGATTATTAGAATATTAATTAATTTATTTAAAAAATGTTATTATTATTAGTTAATTAAAAGTTTAACTGCCTAATTTATCAATAAATTCTATAAGTTTTTGTTTGCAAAATTCAATGAATCATTGTTTTTCTTTGCTTATTAGAAATTGTCGAAATATTATTCTCATTATTCTCATAAGATTCCAAAACTTTTCAAGCTGTTGACAATATTATAGGTAAAATTTAACCAAAGGTTTGAATGTAGATACAAAAATTAGTCTCGATTAAAAGGGCAGAAAGTGCATTTTCAGAAAAAAAGAATATTCTTATGTACACTAAATTATATATAGTATAATATAATATAATATAATAAATAATAATAATATAAATATTAATAATAATAATAGAATATTTATAACATTTATATCTTAATTTAGGTGCGACATCAACATTTCATCCTGCGCACGTCAATCGTACCGACAATTTCCGACGGTAGTGTATGTTTACACATAATCCCACAATGTGAAGGAATGTGATATATACATATTCGAAAAATTAAAAATATATTTTTTTCCTTATTTTTTTTTACAAAAATAATGATTGTTGATATGTGAGAGGAGAATTTTACATTGTAATATATTAAATATCTGAAGAGGCCCAGCGTGAATAGTCAAGAGCTAATATTAAATATTAAATAAATGTGGATTTCACAAAAAAAAAACAACTTCTAGGGACAGAACGTCCATATAGGATTCCTCCATTAAATTATCCATTATTATACTATTAATGTATACATACATATAATATTCAACGCATTTGTATAATATCAATTTCATAAATTTTTTTTTTGGCAAAAACATTTTTCTGAGCATTAAATCAACGGGATATACAAAATTTGCCAAGATATATATATACGAACATGCGGATATTTTGAACAATAATGTAGAATTCCACATCTTTGCACACACAGAGCCAAATCTGAAACTTGAATACTAAAACTTTAAACACGTTTATCTCAACCATGTTTTCTGCTTTGCATCTACGATTTTGTAAGTAAACGAAATTTTTGAAAAGAAACATGAAAACAAAAACATTTGAGTTTTATATAAACTTTTCTAATATATAATATATATTTTTAATGAAATGTAGTGCGTAAAATGTTTAATATAATTTTAAACTTAATTTTATAGATGTCTCTACATTGTAATTAAAATGTATATAAAAATTTAATTAATTTTTTCAGTGCGTATTAAAAAAAAATACAGTTGAATAATTTGCATGCTAGTAAAATTCTAAAATTTCTTCCATTGTATACGCGCGTAACCACTGAATTAACTCTTGATGCAATTTTTGCCCGAAAAACAAAAAAACCACTATACAAAACCTACCGAGTGTGAAAAACGAGCTCTCAGAGTGACAGAATCGGAGGCAAGAATGCAACATGTACCAACAGAATAGGTGTAAAAGTGATATTTCTTCTGGACCGCCTAATTAAAGGACCAGAGTTTGCCATTTTCGGTATATATAGATGAAGAGAGGAGGGTGTGAAATTCATCGAGGCAGCAAAAAGCTGAGTGCAACACACTTCAGTATGGAGGAATATTCTCGTCAGAATGTAGAAACTTTCGAGAGTGACGTGGTTTTAATATATATATATATGATAACGCAAGTGAGAAACTTATATATATATATGCACAACTTTTAGCCAGACACCTTTTCTATAGGGTTTATACTCTTCAATCATAAATCGCAAAAACTCGGGAAAACTTGTATATTGCATCGAATTTACTGTTATAATCGATTGCTAAATAATCTCATATATTTTAGGGTTTATTTTACGAGGCAATTTTATGGATGACTATACCGATTTCTCTTCGTAAATCATAATAGCTCCTATAAACTATAACAAAAATTATTGACCTCCAATTTTCTCAATTTCTTCCCAAAAAAAAAAAATTTCATTTCCAATAGTTTTATTGTTTATACAATTATTCACAAAAATAGAAGAAATTTTATTGTTGTATATAATATTTCTTATACCATAATAAAGAGAGCGATCATTAAATTTATTGGATAAATCTTATTACGAATCAAAATGTATTTAAAAAAATAAAAAACCGATGAATCTAGAATCCTGTTATTCTATAAATAAAGTCCTAAAAACAAGTTTAATTTTCTCGTTAAGACGAAGAGGATGAGTCTGACACTTTTCCAGTCCTTTTATATAGTCTTTTAGAAAGGAAATGCAGACTGAAAACTTTTCGCCTAGACAGGGGTGTAACAAACTACCAAAACGAACATGGAATTAGAAAATGCAAGTAGCAAAGGAGGGAAGAAAAGTATCAAGGGAAAAATGTGAGATGGAACACACACACACACACACATAGAGAGAGAAAAAAGAAGAAGAATAAAATCATGAGAAGGGGATGAAGGTTTCCAGATAGTCAACATTTCAACGACTAATGGGAATAGGTGAAAAAGGCAGAAAGAACAAAAGCATTGTATTCACAATATTTATATATATATATATCTCTTATGTCGATTTTTAGACTGTTCCGGAAAATTATCTTTCACGTAAGTTAATTTTGAAAAAAAAAATAATTACTAAAAAAAATTTTGCAGAATCAAATTTTATGAGATAAAACATGAAACAAAAAATGTTTCACATTTTTTTTTTTTTTGGTGCACAAGTGATTAATGCGTAACGCATCCGGTTCTCTGGTAGTATATGCGTGAACGAAGGGTATATGGTTTCCGAGTGAAAAGAGATTGCAAACAGGGAATTGTAAAGTTCGTTATATACAGAAGCGAAAGATTTATGTTCACAAAGTGTCCCAAAGTTCCTGTATATATATATACTTTGTTCTTCTCGCTATTATCGACTTTGAAACTTGTCCGCGATATTTTTTTTGTTGTACACATTTCGAATCCAATAGTTTCAAATACAATATATTTGCGCAGAATACATCAAAGGGTCCACCCACTCATTTCCAGCATCATGGTCCTGGCACGACACGGGAACAATTTAATTAAATGGCGGCAACATGTATACCTTCCATAAACAGAAAGGGGGTGTCGTCGTTTCAACAATATAATTCAATTTGTGTATGTATTGACTGCATTTTTTGTATATACATTTAAACAAAAACATCTTTCAATGATTTTTTTTTAATTCGATTTGAAATGAAAAAAAAAAATATTCTGTTCATTTGATTTGAGTTTTGTAAATTGTGTAATAGAAAGTCGACAATAAAAGTCAATAGGAAAATATAGTATATAATTACAATATTTTTTTTTATTGTAAAATTCTTATTTAAGTGTGATAAATTATGATCTTATATCATCACTTTCTCTTTATTTAATTCTTAACAATTCAATGCATCGAAAAACGATGTACTAGATTTAAATTCTATTCGCGAAGAAGATTCGCACAAGAATTGGTTTTGTGTCCTATTCGATGTCGTCAGGTCATCTCAAACGAGGAGCCATAAATTTTCCATTGTATATCCGTATAAGCAGACACATGATGTGAGTTACACCTCGATAAATTGCTAAGATGTCGAGGTATATATCGTTTTTCAAACGAACGAGGTCAAATGTCTTTCAAATTCAACTATATACATTTTTTTTTATTGTATTTCAATTATTTAATTGATAATTAAATATTTTAGTAATAAAAATTTTTTAGTAATAAAAATTTTTTATTCAAAATAAAATCTTTTTTCTTTTTTGTAAAATGTAATGAAAGGATAAAGGCGTGACATTGAAGTAATCTGAAACTACAAGATAATTCGCATGATCCTTTTATAAAGTTTTGTTAATCTTCTCTCATATTCACTTTATCTCACCTTTTGCTCTGTATGCATACAATTATACACACAGCGTGAAATGGATGTAGCTATATAGCAGAATACTGTGGACGACTTAAGCTTATCGCCTTTTACGGTGCACACTGAAGTAGTGGCTAGTCTCATTAGCTAGTTTTACTGGGCTTTTCTCTCACTTTACTTTACTCCACAACTGCTCCTTCTTGTTACTACTACTACTACTACCACTCCAATCCTAATTCGGTCTTCTACTCTTCTCTTTTGATTCTCGAATTTCTTCCAAATCCAGAATTCAACTGAGAGACTTGGTTCTGAATTTACCTCGATTCAGCCAATTAGCAGCAGAAGCGTGCAACTTGAACAGAGAGGAATGCAATCGATTTTATACCCACATCGTTAGGTGAACTAAAGTTTTTTCATTTAAATTGATATTATTGACATTTGTCAATTCTTTCACGTTCCAAACATTTTTTTTTTTAAATGACTATAATCATTGAATATATAGTTAGATTGCAAATTCAATGTCCACATATATATACCGCATGTATCCGATTATGCACGAATTGTGGGTTCGTAGTCCAACTAAGCTGCACATAACGTGTAAGCTTCTCATCTGTGTATCATCTAGTATGCCCAGGTCCGTTTTAGGTTCCATTGTCCACTCACTTCGGAAGCATCAAGCTCCTTACATGTATTCCGCTCATAAATTATATCTCGATTTGGATTACACATCAGTAACGAACATATTGCTCTGTTAATGTTATTACCCTAGTTAAACACAAATAACCGAATTCGCAAACATATGGACCTCTATATACACACAAATTAATTTTACATATTTGATTGACAAATTAGTCATTTTTATATTATTAGAATAACTATCGTATTTCAAAGAAAAGAACATAAAGAGTAGAATCTTCTAAACAGTTAGTTAAGCCAGTTTTGATTTTTGTTTCTATTGAATAATTGGTAAAAGGTATAAGAGTAGAATCTTCTTAATTCGGACTGACTAAACTGCCGCTACTTTTTGACGGTTTTGAAAATATTTTCTTTTTTTTTTCAACAAATTAAGTTGGAATGCAATGAAGCATTAAAGGTGTCTCCGCACATATCTTTAGAACATTTCGCCACAGTTCAACTCTGATATACGCTCGCGCACTCATTCGTCGGGAGAATACTTTATCGTGCATGAATAATGTATCCTTCGGTCTGATAGTGAGTATACCAACATTTAGGCAGCTTTGGCCAATATTGATACACGGGTTTCACCAGATTCTACTACTATATATATGTGTGTGTGTTTTACCTGTTCCACCTCCTTCCCTATCCCTTTCATCTCCTCCTTTTCAACATGTCCTGGGAACACCTTGTCACTCTGTCTTCAGGATACAGGTATAGAGTAAACTTGCAAACACATCTTGCTTAATGACGAGTCAACAAGCATCAAAGATAGACCCTAGAACACGAGGAACTTTGAGTTAAGATCCTCCATACGAGGAGCAAGTGTATCTAACTGAATTTTCAAATTTTGAAAATTATTTTAATTCAATATTATTTTTTGATTTTTTTTTATACACGGAGAGAAATAATTGATTAGGCTATGCTAAGTATTGGATAGGGTAGCAATTTTTGTTGGGCTCTATAGCGCGATCAAATTAGTTTGCACTGAAAAAAAAATTTATTTGATTCAAATACCGGTGTATTTGGTTATTATCAAATAAATATTTACTTGAATCAAATATTTCTTATTTAAATAAAATAAATGTTATTTGCTTCAAATACTGAAATATTTGATTCAAATACTATATATTTGCTTCAAATAAAAAATATTTGATTCAAGTAAATATTTATTTGATAATAACCAAATACACCGGTATTTGAATCAAATAAATTTTTTTTTCAGTGTGCTGCTGCAACTATTTCTGTTGTATACTCACAAGTTGGATACTGTAACAAATTTCGATAGCTAGTATATACATTCCATTGAATGCCTCATCCATCTTTCTTGCGCATAGTTACCTCTAATTTTGTTAGTACAACTATTTTGATTGGTGGGATATCTAATAATATTTAGAAAAAAATAGATTTAATTAAATAAAAATATCTTTCATACACGATACGATAATAAATGTTTTTTTTACTATAAAAACAAACATTTACTTGAGCGGATATGAAATTTTTTAAATTTGATTCCATTTATATAGTCACTTATATGATAAATAATAATTCATTTATAGACATCAGTGAAATTATAATAAATGAAAATTTTGAGAAAAAGAATTTCAACCAAATAACATGCATAAAATAAATACAATGATAAATAAATAAAATAGGGGAAATAATGATGATCCAGAAAGCATGTGCAGTAAGGTTAGAGGTTAGAGTCAAGCATTTGTATATTCATCAAGGATAATAAAAACTTACCTCGAAATGTTTTGATTAAAAAGTCTGCAGGCTCCGGTGCAACGACTTGTAGAAATTTTATTGTGCTTTCATCCATTTTTTATCACAATAATTAACACGATTAACACTTTTCACGAGACGCGACGATATGAACCGTCATTACAAGCGCGGCATCCATATGCAATTAACACAATGCGCTTGCGCGTCACATGACTTACCGGTATGCTTCTCAATTGGTTGCCTCAAGCAACTTGGTTGATGACGGTAGCCTACTACAAGCATGCAATATCCAATTCAAATATAAATTTTAAAATGATAATGTGACCAACGGTGATGATTGATATATCATTTTAGATAGATGTTACAACAAATTCTCTGTTATCCAATAAAAAAATGGATGCATTAGCCAACCATTTTTCTCCGTGTAGTATTATCAGAAGGGCAACATTTGAACTAAACCAGATAAACTAATACCAGGAGCAATATAATCCTTTGAGTAATGATGATGCTGGCGTTAATACTTGCCATTTCAATATTGATTTGGTCGATCAGAGCATATTCGATTCACACGAGCAATAGATTATATATATATATATATGTTAAAGTCCTTGGCCCAAGGTGGTAATTTCAAATTCCAATCTCAAGGGATCTTGCTTACCTTTCTCAACAATGATATGAAAATGTCAAGCATACAAGATGCGCGAGCACAAACTTTTTCCTCATAATATATTTAAAAATTATTAAAGAAAATTTAATAAATTATGAAAATATAGAAAATAAATATAGGAAAAAAAAGCTATGAATACTTTCATAACCATTAAATATCTTTGAGGAGAGTAGCGATTGCGACAGCAACTAGATTGATTTTCCTCGCGACATGAACTGCACATGAAGCTTTAGTGACAAGAAAAATGAAGTTGTGAGAGAACTTTCCAGTAAACTACTAACAATATTTTCAGTGTGTGTGTATATATATATATATTTGTAATCGAATATCGAAGCTCATATTTGCAGTCTGCTTGCACTATGTAGAGAAAAATTTTCAAACACTCACCCTAAGTATGCGCAAATATTCACAATACAATGTGTTTGTGTCTGTAAAAAATTTACATTCGTGTTAATGTATATACACACACACGCGAAAGTTGGTCCCTGCGAGTGAAGCGTGTTTCCACCGATTGACGAGATGCGTATAGGGGTGCAAACGTGATAACACAAAATCTTGTAAAGCATCAACTTCTTTTTTTTTTTTTGCCCCCAAGAGAGGAAAAAAATACATTTTTGTACACATGGAAAAAAAATTAACCTTCGATATAAGTTGAAATGAATTTAATTTTCCAAGCGATCGAAATTGAAAAGAGATCGTTGGGTATTTTTATTGAAATACCTTTCAATTTTTTAATAAAGTTTCTATTTCTCTATTTTAACTTTTTTCTAATTCTGGTTTTTTTTTGGAAACTATATATAGGTGTCTCAGATTAAACTATCACCGTCATCTTTACAACCGAGACTACTGGTTCCGTTTATCTAGCAATTCGTGTGTTTGTTCGTCAAACTCATCGTCGTCAGACGTTGGTGAGTTTCTATTGAAGTGCACACATTTCTCTACGGCAGACTCCCTTTTCTCCCTTTAAACTTCATACATATGAAACGAAATTCCGGTGTCTCAATGAAAACTATATTCCCAACCCCCATTTCCTTATGCACGTCACAGGAGTCTGCTTTTCATTTGAAAATTTTAGTAAGTGATTTAAAAATGATATTTTACTTTTGTTTTTCAAAATTATTTATATATAAAATGAAACATTTATAACAGATAAATTAGTTTTCAATTAGCATTAGTTTTCAATTTCTAAAACTTAATCCAAGAGGATTATGAGTGTTCCCTGGTTAGCATTAAATTTCCTACTATCTCTCTGTCATTATATTGGTTCATTTTGAGAATTTAGTGGTAGTTTAAAGGAGTCCCATGGGATGTGTGAAATTCTGATAGCCGTCGGGGACTTGGTTTTGAGAGACAAAACTTCGACACAGTTTCTGTTTGCATATACGTTTGTCGTTGTCAATTCAACACTTCTGACATTTCATATACATGTAAACAATTCATATATATTAATGAAATGTCATTGCACTTAGTTTCAAAATCGCGTCTACAAGATCAAAAAACTTTTTTAATATACAATTTCCTAATTTGCACAACATTTTCATATGTTTCTAACGCATTGAAATTAATTTAATATTTGTATTCATCTTTAACAGAAATTTAGATTAATTATATATGCAAAATGATTGACTTGCTTTTAGAGAGATAATTTTACTACAGTA